TTAATCATAATGTACCATGCCAACAAAAACAACAATAGTACAACCAAAGTAAGCTTACCTGGTATTCTATGGACCCAATGTCCCAATTAACCAAAATATACTCTTTTCTACAGTTCAATAAGCAATAGATTACCTTCATGACAATGACCCTGAAACATGCAGGGTCCTGAAATATCTTCTAAAGCACTTTATAATGACTGTCCCAAAAATTTTAGTGCAGTTTTAATCTGTGAAAGCTTAAAACTGTTCCAAGACTTTTAGAACACCTTATATAACATCATGGAAACTTTAAATTATAGCTAATGTAATTTTAATGTTAAATTAGTTTCATTATAGTCTAATTTTTTTAAAAAATGGTTAATGGAGAATAATTATCTTTGAATCAAGTATAGTTATATTTATTGTCAGCCGATTTTTAAAGCAGTTACAACCCTACATATTCTAATTTTCTAAATCATATTTTACTTTTAAAAATCAATATATCCTTAATGCAAATGATGACGATGGTATTTTATGCCCATGATGTCCTGCTGCATGATCATTTATCACCTATTTTCTAATAAAGTATCTGGTGATTTTTAAAAAATCAATTCAAAATTCAAATTCAAAAATCAATTCAAAAATCTTGACCAAAATCATTAGTTTCCAACATGGAGAACTTCCTACAGGTTAATTAAGTCTGACACAGGTGTGTGAGGCAGTGTACTATGGCAGTGGGAAAAGGCCTAGACTTAAAGACAGAGGACCTGCATTCAAATGTGGGTTCTGTCCCTTATAGCCTGTATAGCCTTGAGCAACTCATTTAACCTCTCCAGGCCTCAGTTTCTTTGCTCGAAAAATGAAAGGTTGGACTACATGGCCTCTGAGGTCCCTTATAGCTTTAGATCTATATAACTACAATACATCATATATTATATATGATCCTATGATGACCCTTCCGTCTTTCAAACTATTCTCCCATCATCCTATGACCTGATTTGAATGCCTTTGGGAAGGCTGCAAAGTCTGATTCATCGTTCAAATTTTCCCCAAATGAACTCTTTAATTTTATTAAGAGCTAATATTTATCTAGCACTCTATAGTCTGCCAAGTTCTTTACATATATTATCTCATTCTCAGAGCAGTTCTGGGAGCTAGATGCTATTATTATCTTCATTTTGCAGATGAGAAAACTGAGACTCAGAGAGGTTAAGGCTAATCTTACCCAGGCTAACACAGCTAGTAAGGAGGAAGTTGAAACCAGTTCTTCCTGTCTCCAAATCCAGCATTCCATCCACTCTACCATGATGCCTATCATTGGAAGCAGGAGAGGCTGTGAATTACTGGATATGGAGGGTAATTCTGTTTTCCAAGATATAAGCAAAGTTAGGATTTAGAAAATAAATCTTGCTGTTACTATGGGGAAAATTGTCTTTATACCTTGTCTTGCCTTAAGGGGTATGTCTATCCTCCTCTCCCTTCTTTTCCAAAATTTATTTAATACTTATCAAAGAGATTCTTCTAGGGTTTGTATTATTTAACTATTATATAGTGTATGTATGTTATAATACATAATTGTTGGCATATTGTCTCCCTCATTAGATTGTGAGCTCCTAAGGGCAGGGACTTTTGAGCCCTTAATAAATGCCATTGATTTATGGATGGCTTTCTTCTTCTTTTTTAATATTTTATTTTTTGTAATTTATTTTTGATAATGGCTCTTAAATCTTTAAAATACCTGCTTTATTTCATTTTGACTCTTGGAATTTTGTCTTATTAAAAACCTAAACCAATGCAATGCATTTTAAGGTGAAGTGCAGTAGGTTCCCCCCCCCCCCACAGTGGGAATCATTCACTCAGAGGTATTGCATGCATCAAATACTTCTCTTTGTTCTGCATTTATTGTGATTTTTGGAAACATATCAGCTTTTACAGTTGGGTGAACAGGTTTTGTCCTGCAACTGTCCAATTTATTTGCTTTTTAAACATCAGCCTATCTATGGTAGTAATTTATGTAGAATAAAAAGTATTGAAGAGAAATAAATTATTTGATGTTATAATTTGTGGTACAATATTGTATATTGTGACTTAGGCATGTATTTTTGGTAGCAGAGTGCTATATGATTTATACCACTTACTGAACATTTTTGCTTCATTTGTATAAAGTACAGTATGCAAATCTGAAATTGTGCATTTTGAGAAACATCCATTGAAATAGAATTAACCGAGCAGGACACTGGTAACCAAAAAAGAGAGAGAGAACAATTAAATATGAAAACAGATACTTCCCTAGTTGTATAGAACCTTATAGCAACTTTGATAAATATCTCTTAGCAAAAGTGGTATTTAGGCAACTTCATTTAAAATATAGTAAAACTGGTCATCCTGATTAGCTCTTTAAGTATACATTTAATTGCACAGAAAACTACATTGTAACATTGTCTCAACATTCACAGATCAACTGTAAATTACCTTTTAGTCTTTGTGCAGACTGAAGAAGCACTGTTATTATTCCCAGAAAGTGCTTTTGCCTATGGTTTTTCAGCTTTACCACAGTGATTCTAACGTGCATTATGATTGGTAATTAGAAATGTTACTTTCAGCTGAAAGTGTTGTGATATTTCAATTACTTTTAACTACCATGTAAAAATAAAACTGTTTCTTTTGGGTTTATCAGCTATTTCTCTTGTGCACAGGTAATATATGAATTAAAAATTATTTGTGAGCCCCAAAAATAATATTTTATTTTTTTTCCCTAATTACATGTTAAAACAATTTTTAACATTTTTTAAAAAAAGCTGTAAGTTCCAAATTCTCTTTCTCCCTCACTCTCTCCCTTCCCCCTCCCCTGAGATGATAAGTAATCTGATATAGGTTATACATGAGCAATCATGCAAAACATTTTTGTGGATAGATTTCTAAGCCACAACAACTTTGTTTCTGCCTTTCAACACTTCATCTTCTAGGAGGGAAACTTTCAGATGATTTCTAACAGCATCCCAAATTTGATGCCACCATACTAAATCTCAACAGCATCTTTCCATGCAACTGGGCACCAGATACCTGGGAGCTAGCCTGAAAATGTACAATACCAACACTATGATTATTTCTCCTAGGTCCAACCTAGTTTCTTTTAGACTCTGCTGATAAAGTCCATGAAATTTTCTATGACTTCATTAAAGAAAGTCAGCACACTTATCCACTTGGATCACAGCCCATTATGGCCTGGCAGGCAGCCATATCTTATGTTTGTATTTATGAAATCCATTATGCAGTAGGGTTGATTTTCCTTTTGGCATGTGCAACAAGGTTGCCTTTGAAGTACCTTTGGAACACCTTGCTACTGTAATGGAGTCATCCTATGGAACATACCCAAAGCTGTCCTTTGGACTTTCAACCAACCTTCTGTATGACTCAGCAGTCAGGCGCATTGGGGATAATGAGGCTCTGTCTGCTTGTGAAAGAACCTATCAATTTGGTACAATGGAAACAAATCTGAAGTACTCCCTTAGTCTTCCTCCCTCTCCATATATAGCCACAGCAGCATACAAGCAGGGTGTTATGTTGGTTAAAAAGGAAGAAAAACTGGCTTGCTGTCTTCCTTCAATACTCCAGGTGGTATCTTCTAACAGACACTTTCAATGAGTGGTAAAAGAGGGCTGGACTTCCTCCTCCATGGCAAAATGTTGGCCGTTCCCACATGGCAGGTAGTGCAGGGGAACTCCAGGTAGAATACTCCTACCTAGGCCCCTAATTGCCTTTTCTGCTTTGAGTTTCCTTTCCTGAGTAGGCAAATGAACACAGCTTTTGAGACGGATGTGACTAGGCTTAAAGGTGACCTTGTGTGTTCAAGAAGTCCTGGGGCAGTTGCATGGAGCTGACTGGTAGCAGAGGGAATCTCTGCATTAAAGAGGATACCACTGACGAGTGAAGGAGCTCAGTCCCTGACTTTACTCATCAAAAGACATGGACTTTAAGGGAGACAGTGCAAGGGACAAGGTGAAATTTTAAGAACCTAGTCAGCAGTCCTACAAACTGCTTCATGTTTAAATGATTGTAAATATCAACTTCCAGGCAGAACATAATAGTAGTTAGTATTACTATTTGTTTAATAGTAATTTCTGTCAGATATGGTATTGTGAGTATTCTTTTGTTAGCATTTCTTTTGAATATAGAAAATAAATACCTGTCCATTGTACTTTGAGAACCTTTTAACTCCCCACCTTTTATGGAGACCTAAGTATAAACCAAAATGGAAACTATAAGTCAATTATCCTGTAAGGTGCCATGGTGGTGGGTTTAATAAACTGAAGAGTAGAGGCAGCTAGGTGGTGCAGTGAATAGAGCTCTGACCTTAGAGTCAGGAGGACCTGAGTTCAAATCCAGCCTCAGACACTTAACACTTACTAGCTGTGTGACCCTGGGCAAGTCACTTAACCCCATTGCCTCACCAAAGAGCAAAAAAATAGAATAAAATAAATAAGCTGAAGAGTATGAGAAAAGGGAATGTAACCCTTCTCATCAGAAGCCATACTTTCCAAAGAGTGAACCTGGTGTGGACTGTGTGTATGAGTGGCTCAAGCGAAGACAGGGTTCTTTAAGTGGAGAAGGAAGTGGGAACAGTGAGTGCCTCTAGCCCCTTGGATCCAGGAGCAGTAATTGTTACACTATTTCCACATGCTTAGTGTGAAGAGTTCAGGTAATCCACTGTATAAATCAGGGATCAAGCCCCTACCAGTGCAAAGCACTCTATTCATAGATCATCCTATGAATCAAATAGCAAAATATTTAAAGGAATTTGAATTATAAGTAACATGGGGACAAAAAAAAGAATAAAGGCCTAGAAAGGAGATCATGAAAGAAAACTTCATTCTTCAGGGTAAAGCGAAAGAACTATGAGAAGATAATATTGTCTTAGCTGTCAGACACAATCTCTGCATTGAATGTTTATGTTCAATGTTTTTCTTCATCACAAGAGCAATCAATCTGAAGGGGATTAGAAACAAAAGGCACCAATAAAATATTTTAAAATAGAACTATCTTTAATTGGGATAAAATAACAAGATGACTTTCCAAGGGAGACGAATGAGCCATAAAGTCTAACTATCTCCCTGTGAAAATTCATGACTGTGCTTCAGATCAAGTGATTCAGTATATTGGCATCTCCTTGGGCTAGATTCACTTTAGTTCCAGCTGTGAGTGGCCAGTCCCTTCCAAATGGAGTTGATTTCCTGGGATGTTGTCCTCTTGAGGCTCCAGACTCCAAATACACCAAGTATAGATTTCAATACTCATACTGAATGGTAGTGTGGTACGATGATGATGAACTAAACAAAACAAAGCAATGGATGTCAGCAGACTTGAGATCAAATCCTAAATTTGCCATTTGTTACCTAAGTATCCTTTATTAAATCACTTCATTTATCTAAAACTCAGTTTAACCTCAACTATAAAATGAGGTGGCTGGACTAGATTATCTTATAGCACTCTTTCAGTTCTTAAATGTGTGAAACCATAAACCAAGTTCTTAAAGGCCAATTCACATTTGTTGTTCCTGTGCTCTCCTAAATGTTCCAGAGGGTTCAAGACATATTGCCCCTATTTCACCTTTCTACTTTTGAATCTTTTTGCCTATCAGCCCACATTTGAAATCACCGATGGCATCGCTATTCAACAAATTTCTGACGGTAAAAAACTGAATTCTAGTATAAGAGTGAGATGATGGATTTACTCAACCCCATCCCACTTAAAGTAAGTAAATAGCTTAATAAGTCAATCATTTCAATCCTAGATCTTAGACTAAGGGTTCTTCACCTTTTTTGAGTCATGGATCCCATAGACAGTCTGGTGAAGCCAGGGGGCCCCTTCTCAGAGTAATATTTTAAGTATGTAAATAAAACATAGGATGACCAAAAATGCCAATTATATTGAAATATAGCTTTCACATTTTTTTATTAATTTATTTTTATTTATCAACAATCACTTTTGTAAGTTTTTGAGTTTTAATTTTTTCTTCCCCTCCCTCCCTACCTCCCTTGACAAGATGGTGCACAATCTGATACAGGTTATACACATACATTCCTATTAAACATATTTTCACATTAGTGATGTTGTAAGGAAGAATCAGAACCAATAGGAGGAACCACAAGAAAGAGAAAACAAAACAAAACAGAAGAAAAAAAAGCAAATAGTATGCTTCAATCTGCATTCAAACTCCATAGTTCCTTTTTTTGGATGTGGATAGCATTTTCCATCATGAGACCTTTGGAGATGTCTTAGATCCTTGTATTGCTGAGAAGGGCTAAGTCTATCAATGTTAGTCATTGCACAATGTGGCTGTTACTGTGTACGACGTTCTCTTGGTTCTGCTCATTTCACTTAGCATCAGTCCCTACAAGTCTTTCCAGGTTTTTCTGAAGTCTGCCTGCTCAATGTCTTATGGCACAATAGTATTCCATTACTTCATATACCACAACTTGTCCAGCCATTTCCCAATTGACAGGCATCCTCTCAATTTCCAATTCTTTGCCACCACAAAAAGAGCTGCTATAAATATTTTTGTACACATGGGTCCTTTTCCCATTTGTATGATCTCTTTGGGATACAACCCTAGAAGTGCTATTGCTGGGTCAAAGGGTCAAAATTTTTTAAAACAAATTCTCAGACCCTTAGATAAAGCATAAAAAGTCCTTCAAACTGGGGTGATGTTGTACAAGAGTCATATAAAGACAGGTATAGGAAAACTTGAAATTGTCTATAAATTATCAATCAAGTTAAGAAGCTATTCATTCCAGGAATTAGAACTAGCATAACTTTCCAAAGCACCCCAGGGGTATACTTGCCTGGGGAGGGAAGGAAAGGCCTTGGCTTCAGCCTTGCCCAAGTATCCCTCCTCTTTCTTCTTCCCCTTTGAACCCCTAGCCCCCTACACACACACACACACACACACACACACACAACACACACACACACACACACACACTTTGGCCAGAGAAGGCCTTTGCAAGCTTCGGAGGATTTGGGAGTTGCCATCTTTCCATTAGTGTCCTAGTTGTATCTTTAGATCAGCTGATGGAAGTGTCTTCTCATAATAAAGAACAGACTCAACATATGTACATAGCTCCACAAAGGAGTCCAGCCAAGAAACTACACCATGCTTACTGGGAATTTTTTCCCGCAACCAGGAGGTATGAGTTACCCCTTTACCATACATGCTCTTGAGCCCACTTTCCCCTGGAGGCTATGTCACAGACTTTTGGGGTGGACATTTCATCCCAACAATTCTTAGTAAACGTCCCTTTCTAAAAGCTACTTAAGGCTGGATGACTAAATGGTTCTCAATTAATAATCCTGAGGGAAGCATACCAGTGGGGGCTCAGAGAATCACTCCTGACCTCTCAGAGGTATCCCTAGAGCCCTGAGAAGGGAGATGTGGCCTTGCTCAGAGATAAGAGATGTATCTGTGAGAGTGGGAGGTGGGATAACGATCTCAGAATTTACATGAATTACACCAGAAAAGTCTTCAGCTGGTGCTTGTTCTTCAATAAGAAGTACAGATGCTTTTATCTTTCTTCAACACAACCAATTTCTCCCAGAATCCTCCACCTGAGAGCCCAGGAAATACCAATACTTCTGTGCCTCCAGTCTACCATCATCCAAGAGAGCAAACACTATAGAAACATAACAAATGTCTTTAAAGATGCTGCATCCTCTATTTTCCCAGCAGGCAACTACTTGAAGACCTGGAAAAGCAAGCTCTTGACACCAAAGTCATTGACACTGTCAAATGGGCCAACAGCATAAAGAGACAGAGTTTACCAATTGAAATGACACCAGAGATGATATGTTAGTTAGCTCCTTCTACATCATACTCTAGCTGGATACTTGCCATCTGGCCCACTGAGCTTTATTATCCAGCTTGGTTTTATAAATGGAAATACCACTTCAGAAGATGCATTAGGGTATGCAGCCAGGTGGCAAAGTTTATAAGGGTCTAGACATAGAGTCAGGAAGACCTGAGTTCTAATCTGGCCTCAAAAACTTGCTAGCTGTGTAACCCTGGTCAAATCACTTAACCTCGCTTCATCTCAGTTTCCTAAAATATAAAATGGGGATAATATTAGCACCTGTTTCTCAGGGTTGTTGTAAGGATCAAGTGGTTTAATATTTGCAAAAGGTTTAGCAAGATGCTTGCTACATAGTAGGTATTTAATAAATGCCTTTCTCCTTCCTTCCTTTGCCACCACAACCTAAGGGCCACTTGGGCCCTCCTATATGTGCTGAATCCCCTTCTCAAATGTGACTTTCTTGAGAGCAGAGATTGTCTTGCTTTTCAGTCTCATTCCCAGCACTTAGCTCAGTGTTTTGCACACAGCTAAACCTTAATAAATGCTTTTTCATTCAACCACTCTTAGGATCGGTATTCCCACTGAGATTACTAGGTGATACACTGTCTCAGTCCATTGGAGCTGCACTGGGAGACTTTGAGATTTCTACAGAAAACATAAAACCACTCAATAATGCTAAAAGCAGTAGAACTTTATTATGGGCATACAAGGAGAAAGAGCTTAACTTGCTACATTTGGGGGCTTATCTCACCTCACCTCACCTCCAGGTCCCCTGAATTTTCAAAATTCACAAGGCTTTAGCTCCAGATTAATTTCTTTTACCTAAAACAAAGGAACAAATGCTGAGGCAAAGATCAAGTGCTTGTATTTGGGGGCCACATGAAGGCCTCAGAACAGAGGAAAAAGGCCTCTCCATTCAAATCCCAATGCAGGAAGAGAACTGAAAGAGCACTGAAGGAGAAAGGAGTGAAACCAAGACACTTCACACCAAGACACAAAGACTAGTTTAAAGGTGGAGTCAGCTCTGGCTAACAGGGACAGACAGTAAGAGGCTGTGGTAAATGGACAGCAATCATTTAAAGAATTCCTGCACTTGCTTCAAAGTCTCTCTAAGGCATTTCTATCACACCATCACAGCAGAAGCAGAATCTCCAGCTTCTTCTACGTGGGGAATTGCATCAACAGAACTCATAAGTATTAGGCTCAATGGCCTTTCTCCTATTACGTACAAGTTAGGAAACTGAGGCAGATAAGTTTAAAGAACTTGTCCAGGGTCACATAGCTAGCAAAGATCTGAAGCAGTATTTAAACTAAGGTCTACTTGGCTCCAAGTCCAACACTCTATCCACTGTACCAACTAGCTGCCTCTTCAAAAGAGTTCTTAACAATCAGTAATCTGCTGGTAAGGTGGAACTGGAGCTCAGAGGGAAGACTAGGGCTGAATATATAGATCTGGAAGTCACCAGCCTAGAGAAAATAAACCACTGGAACTTATGAGGATAACAAAGAGACTATATAGGGAAAAAAGAGAAAACGGCCCAGCATAGAGCTTTGGGATTTGAATGACTATCCAGCAAAGGTGATAGCATAGAAGTGGTCAAACAGGTAGGTAAAGAACCAAGAGACAATAAAGAGTGCCATGAAAACCCAGAGAGAAGAGAGTATCCAGGAGAGGCTAGAGAACAAGGTCAAAAGCTGCAGAGAGGACAAAATGGAGGATTGAGAAAGGGCCATCAGATATGTCAAGAGCTCACTGGTAACTTTGGAAAGAGAAGTTCCAATTCAGAGATGAGATCAGGAGCCAGATTGCAAAGGGTTGAGAGGTAAATGAGGGGAGAGGAAGTGGAACTAATTAGAGTAAACAGATATAGGATAATAGCTTAAAGGAATGGTAGGGTCAATTGGTAGATTTTTAAGGATAGAGATCTGGGACTGTTTGTAAACAGTAAAGAAGGAACCATTCATTAGTTAGGGATGGAATTAAAGATTAAAGAGTTGGGAGGATTGTGAAGGCAATCTGCTAGAGGAGATGGGAGGGGATGAAATTAAAGCCACGTGGACAGGGGTTGGCCTTGGCAAGAAGAATTACCTACCTTTTCATCAGATTCTGGGTAAAGAATGAAAGAATGGGGGAAGACATCATAAGAATCTGAGATGTATAAAAAGAGAGAAGAGGAAGTACCTGGCAAATGGCCTCTTATTTTCTCAGTAAAGAAGATGGTGAGGTGGAATGGAAAGAAAAGGTGATCTGGGAGGCTTGAAGACAGGAGAGGATTGCCATCTAGGGAACAGAGAATCAATTAGGAAGGAGTATAAGGTTGTGTGGTTTGTCCTTCATTCTCGAAGAGAACCATGACATGGAGGAGATGATGACATGACCTGCAACTGACTTTGATTTGAGTGAGGGTGGCCTGTGCAAAGTCACCAGCTTCACTTTATCCTCCAAAGCCATCAGAGTCCAGTGGCCAGATATCCATGAG